GCGTTTTGCTTCTCGGGCCATCTACTTGGACCCCATCTACTCGGACCCCATCTAGGAGGCCTCTAGAGAAGCGGGGGCATCTGGCAGGCCCAGGGTGCGGACGAGTAGTCCTATACCCTAGACCGCATCGGTGGCGCGCAAGAGTTACCCTGGGCAAGAGTGACCGTTGAAGCGCGGCTTGCCGATCGGTGCGTGCGATGCGGCAGAAGCGGCTTGCGCGCTTGGCTGTGCCCCCCCCCACCCCCCGTGTCCTCCGAAAGCCGCGTGCGACAGTCATTCTGGCGAAGGCTCACTCGGCTTTCTCGCCATACCTCGGGTCTCCAGCGGACCTTCTTGACGATTCAGACATCCCCCGAACGATCTCGTCGAGGTGCAGCTGCTGGAACGCATTCCAAATTCCGAGGTAGAAAAACTTCCCAGAACTTCAAAAAATTAGCGAACGCATCGGGAAACGTTGGGGGAAACGTGCAGCCGACAAGGGCGTTCTGGAGCTTCCTCGGTGCGCCCCACAGCGCTTTGGAATGGCCGCGGCGCCCCGCAACTCTCGGGTGTTGCCAAAGGTGTTCCGGGCCCAACCATCCATAGCAATTGTGGATCAAATCATTTCAGATCAATCAATTCGACAATTCAATTCGACACAAGCTACTTTTCTGTACTGCACACATACGTGGAAAGGCGAACCCATGGTGCTCACTATCGTTCACCTTGTACTATTCGCCAACTTCGCCCTGCCACTGCAGGCAGTAACGCTGCAGAATGCAGCAGATGAGGCGCTGCTCAGGCGTGCTGGTCGTGGCGCTGCAGCGGGTGAAGCTGGCAATCGCAATGGCATGGTAACTCTCCAGTACCTTATGGACCAGCACGTCGCGTCGGAGACCGAGCTCCATCTTCGTGCGGGCGAAACGTGGCGCAAGTACGCAAACCAACTTGCCGATAGCGGATGCAGCTACAAAGGGGGGTTGTTGCCTTGCCCCAATGGCAACATCTGTTATTACACAGGACACGGAGGCTTGAACGTGACAGCCACAGTGGAATATCGCGGGAACATCATCAAGACAGTCATATCCCCCGACCCTGATGCAGGAATCGACATGCCAGACATCGTGACGTTCTTGGGGGCTAGTACCGACGACGCTCCGGCGATGCTGATGGATGTGCCAGCGGAATACCGGCGAACAGCGAACCCCGTCATGCTGAAGATGTTTTTCGTGGAGGATACTGATGATGTCAGTGAGCAGTGCCCTCATGACAGTGAGCGCGTGGAGTCCGTGGGGAACGGCAGTGCGTCGTACCGCCTGGAGAACAACACGATCACAGTTTCAACGCAAAGCCCGAACACGTTCATGGGCATGGCCTTCGATTTCGTCAGCGAGGCACCTGTGGTCATACCCCAGCGTCGAGAATCCCTACGGAACGGAGATCGTCTGTGAGCCGTGCAGAGAGAAGGTCGAGGGTGCTCCAGTCGGAGGAGTTGCCGGCTCCTCGATAGTCGCTTAGAGGTCAGTATACGCAAAGTCTGCTTTGGCCAAGGGATGAAGACGCGCCAACGCAAAGAGAAGCAAGCGCACCAGCGCGCAGGACGGTCTCAAGACCGACAGACAGGCGCCATGGCAGGAGGTGCAGCCGCCGTGGCCGTCGGAGTCTTAGCTTGCGTGTTTACTTTCATCGGCTGCTTCACGGTGTCGCCGTTCTTGGTGACGATGGGGACCATCTCGGTGACGATGGGGACCATCTCGGTGACAAACGGTGCTTGCGACTGTTGGGCTAACGATAACGCGGGACAGACCGCTTGCGGGTTGGCGCGGTGAGCGGTGGCCGAACACCCTCGGCCCTCGCCCCAGGCGAAATTCTAGGTTCATACCTCTGTTTTCATGTGGGGGCGAGGGCTGCGAGAGCGCAATGACAGTCTCCAACAACAGCTGGCGGGCTACCAGCGCGATCAGGATCTGGGATGTCTTGCATTGAGGGGCTGGGAGCATGGGATCGGAGGGGAATGGCATGAAGGTGCGACGCACGGGTCTGCTGCAATTTTTTGTAAGTGTTGCCCCCTCGCAGCTCCGATCTTACGATCCATGAGGAGGAGTGGGAGAGTGGTGGAGCAGGGAGGAGGTAGTCGAAGACAACATAAAACATGCAGGCTCGGAGGTCCACGCGGATCGCATGGATCGGCGCTGGACCCCCGCGCAGGTGTCTTGGCCCGGCGTAGGTCCGAGAGATCCGCGCGGAGGTCCGAAAGTCGGTGCTCGTGCAGTGGTCTGTTCCTCTGGGCTGGGGGGAGAAGGCGGAGTTCGGCAAGGAGGGAGGGCGGGCGGGGAGGGCGGAAGGGAGGGAGGGGGAGGAGGAGGGCGGGAGCGGGGGAGGGAGGAGGACCGCTGTCTTGGACCGCTGTGGTTGGGGGGCCCGTCAGGGTGACGGCATGACCGCCCCGTGATTCGGAGGAGGAGAAGGTACCCATACCGCCACCATTCCCTGGTTTTCGCCGTTTTGGGCCTCCCAGGAGGCCCTCGTCGCCACCGCTGGATCCGGTTCGAAATTCTGGTCAGAACGCACCCCTGGAGAGGTCTGGGGAGCAGCGGTACTAGTGCCTTTTTGTTTCCCCAGTGATTGACTTTGCTGCCCGCGCCAGCTGGGGGTACAGGGGGTACAGGGCGGCGGGTGGGGACCCCGCGCCCCCCCCCCCAGTGAGGACAAGCAGGTTCCGCCCCCCGGGGGTGCCGGACGGGGAGGGAAGGGGGGAAGCAGGGGAAGTCGGGTAGGCAGTGGGGGGGCAGCGTCCAAAAAAAGACGTGGGCATTCTACACTTTCATATGAAAGTCAGCGTTTCGCTCGAGACATGCCCTTTAATAAGGCCTTCGAGCGTGCCCTCTAAACCCCATCTGGTCTCCTCCTCCTCCTCCTCCTCCTCCCGCCTCCTCCTCTTCCGTCCTCCTCCTCCTCGTGCGCTGTCTCCTTCCCTCGCCCCGCTCCCCTCCTCCTCCTCCTTGCTCATATCCCCTCACTCCTCCTCCTACGCCTCCTCCTCCTCGTCCTCCGCGTCCTCGTCCCTCGTCCGCAGTTTCGCCCCTCATGTTTTTTCCTCCTCCTTCTCGTCCTCCTTCCACCCCCTCCTCCACCTCCTCCCCCTCCTCCTCCTCCCCCTCGTTCTACTCCCCCGCCGCCTCCTCCCTCATCATCCTTCTCCTCCGCCTCCTCCTCCTCTCCTCCTCCTCCTCCTCCGCCCTCCTCCCTCCCCTCCTCCTCCTCCGCCCCTCCTCCTCCTCCTCCGCCTCCCGTCGTCCTCCTTACCAGTCGCCTCCCCCTCCCTCCTCCTCCGCCTCCTCCTCCTCCTCCGCGCCTCGTCGTCCCTTGCCCCCTCCTCCGGCCCATACGCCCCCCCTTCCTCCCGTCCTCATCCCCCCTTCCCTCCTCACCCTAGGCTCCTGCCGCTGCTGCGGCTGCTTCTGCTCGCTCTGCGCTTCTCCGCCGCCTCCCCTCCTCCTCCTCCTCCTCCTCCTCCTCCTCCCCCTTCTCCGCCGCACTCCTCCGCCGCCGCCTCCTCCCCCCCCCTTCTCCCCACTCTTCCTCCTCCTCTCCTCCCCCTCTCCTCCCCTCCTCCTTATCAGCATCAATCATCATCATCATCATCATCAGCATCATCACCATCATCATCATCATACAGCATCCTCCATCATCATCATCATCATCCCCCTTCTCCTCCTCCGCCCTTCCTCCTCCCTCCGCCCCTCCTCCTCCCCTCCCTCCTCCTCCTCATCCTCCTCCTCCTCCTCCTGCTCCTCCTCCTCCTGCTCCTCCTCCTCGTCTTCCTGTTATTCCTCCTCCTCGTCCTCTTCCTCTTCCTCGTCCTCCTCCTCCTTCCCTTTTTGCTCCTTCTCCTTCCTCCTGCTCGTCGTCCTCCTCCCCTTCCTCCTGCTCCATTTCCTCCTCTTCCTCATCCGCCTCCCCCTCCCCTCCTCACTCTTCTCCTGCTGCTGCTGCTGACGATGATCCTTCTCCTCCTCTTCCGCCTCCTCCTCCTCCCCCTTTTCCACCGGTAGTCGTCTTCTCCGTCGTCCTCCTCATGCGGAGGAGTGGGGATGATAGTCAGGAATATGTTTGTGAACGTTCGGGGGGCGCGAGTGTACCATTTGTGAGCGTTCGGAGAGTTCGGCTATATTACATGAGATCGAGGTGATGCTGCAAGTTATTGCGCAACTCTGCCCTTTCACGTGCGTCCCGTTCATACCAGGAGAGATTTGAAAAACGAGCGTTTCGCCTAAGACATCCTTGCCAAATCGCGAAGTTGGAGGTCGTGTCTTAAGACGCGGTATGCTGAAAATGAGCGTTTCGCCCGAGAAATCCTTGGAAAATGAAGGTGTTGACATCGCTGTCCTAATCTCCGGACCTTCGAAAATGGCCGTTTCGCTTGAGCCATCCCTGAAAAATCAGAGTCGCCAAGAGCTCTTTTGAAGCATCGTTTCGGAGCGCTCTCGGATGACCTCCAAGATGCCCCAAGAAGCGAAATGATTTAAAAAAACATGTGTTTTCAACACCTCTGTTTAAAAGTAAGCGTTTCGCTTCTCGGGCCATCTACTTGGACCCCATCTACTCGGACCCCATCTAGGAGGCCTCTAGAGAAGTGGAGAGCATCTGGCAGGCCCAGGGTGCGGACGAGTAGTCCTATACCCTAGACCGCATCGGTGGCGCGCAAGAGTTATCCTAGGCAAGAGTGACCGTTGAAGCGCGGCTTGCCGATCGGTGCGTGCGATGCGGCAGAAGCGGCTTGCGCGCTTGGCTGTGCCCCCCCCAACCCCCCGCGTCCTCCGAAAGCCGCGCGCGACAGTCATTTCGGCGAAGGCTCACTCGACTTTCGCGCCATACCTCGGGTCTCCAGCGGACCTTCTTGACGATTCAGACATCCCCCGAACGATCTCGTCGAGGTGCAGCTGCTGGAACGCATTCCAAATTCCGAGGTAGAAAAACTTCCCAGAGCTTCCAAAAATTAGCGAACGCATCGGGAAACGTTGGGGGAAACGTGCAGCCGACAAGGGCGTTCTGGAGCTTCCTCGGTGCGCCCCACAGCGCTTTGGAATGGCCGCGGCGCCCCGCAACTCTCGGGCGTTGCCAAAGGTGTTCCGGACCCAACCATCCATAGCAATTGTGGATGAAATCATCTCAGATCAATCAATTCGACAATTCAATTTGACACAAGCTACTTTTCTGTACTGCACACATACGTGGAAAGGCGAACCCATGGTGCTCATTACCGTTCACCTTGTACTATTCGCCAACTTCGCCCTGCCACTGCAGGCAGTAACGCTGCAGAATGCAGCAGATGAGGCGCTGCTCAGGCGTGCTGGTCGTGGCGCTGCAGCGGGTGAAGCTGGCAATCGCAATGGCATGGTAACTCTCCAGCACCTTATGGACCAGCACGTCGCGTCGGAGACCGAGCTCCATCTTCGTGCGGGCGAAACGTGGCGCAAGTACGCAAACCAACTTGCCGATAGCGGATGCAGCTACAAAGGGGGGTTGTTGCCTTGCCCCAATGGCAACATCTGTTATTACACAGGACACGGAGGCTTGAACGTGACAGCCACAGTGGAATATCGCGGGAACATCATCAAGACAGTCATATCCCCCGACCCTGATGCAGGAATCGACATGCCAGACATCGTGACGTTCTTGGGGGCTAGTACCGACGACGCTCCGGCGATGCTGATGGATGTGCCAGCGGAATACCGGCGAACAGCGAACCCCGTCATGCTGAAGATGTTTTTCGTCGAGGATACTGATGATGTCACTGAGCAGTGCCCTCATGACAGTGAGCGCGTGGAGTCCGTGGGGAACGGCAGTGCGTCGTACCGCCTGGAGAACAACACGATCACAGTTTCAACACAAAGCCCGAACACGTTCATGGGCATGGCCTTCGATTTCGTCAGCGAGGCACCTGTGGGTCATACCCTGGCCTTCGAGATCCCTGTCGGGACGGAGATCGTCTGGGTGAGCCGTGCAGAGATGGTCGAGGTGCTCCAGTCGGAGGAGTTGCCGGCTTCCCTCGAGAGGCGCTTAGAGGAGCAGTTACGCAAGTCTGCTTTGGCCAAGGGGATGGATGACGCGCTCACGCAGAAGGGAAGCAGGCGGCGCAGGCGGCGCAGGTCGGGCTGCTCAGCCGGACAGACAGGCGCCATGGCAGGAGGTGCAGCCGCCGTGGCCGTCGGAGTCTTAGCTTGCGTGTTTACTTTCATCGGCTGCTTCACCGTGTCGCCGTTCTTGGTGACGATGGGGACCATCTCGGTGACAAACGGGGCTTGCGACTGTTGGGCTAACGATAACGCGGGACAGACCGCTTGCGGGTTGGCGCGGTGAGCGGTGGCCGAACACCCTCGGCCCTCGCCCCAGGCGAAATTCTAGGTTCATACCCTTGTTTTCATGTGGGGGCGAGGGCTGCGAGAGCGCAATGACAGTCTCCAACAACAGCTGGCGGGCTACCAGCGCGATCAGGATATGGGATGTCTTGCATTGAGGGGCTGGGAGCATGGGATCGGAGGGGAATGGCATGAAGGTGCGACGCACGGGTCTGCTGCAACGTTTTGCAAGTGTTGCCCCCTCGCAGCTCCGATCTTACGATCCATGAGGAGGAGTGGGAGAGTGGTGGAGCAGGGAGGAGGTAGTCGAAGACAACATAAAACATGCAGGCTCGGAGGTCCACGCGGATCGCATGGATCGGCGCTGGACCCCCGCGCAGGTGTCTTGGCCCGGCGCAGGTCCGAGAGATCCGCGCGGAGGTCCGAAAGTCGGTGCTCGTGCAGTGGTCTGTTCATCTGGGCTGGGGGGAGAAGGAGGAGGTCGGCAAGGAGGGAGGGCGGGCGGGGAGGGCGGGGAGGGCGGAAGGGAGGGAGGGGGAGGAGGAGGGCGGGAGCGGGGGAGGGAGGAGGACCGCTGTCTTGGACCGCTGTCGTTGGGGGGCCCGTCAGGGTGACGGCATGACCGCCCTATGATTCGGAGGAGGAAGAGGCACCCATACCGCCACCATTCCCTGGTTTTCGCCGTTTTGGGCCTCCCAGGAGGCCTCGTCGCCACCGCTGGATCCGCTTCGAAATTCTGGTCAGAACGCACCCCGGGAGAGATCTGGGGAGCAGCGGTACCGGTGCCTTTTTGTTTCCCCAGTGACTGGCTTTGCTGCCCGCGCCAGCTGGGGGTACAGGGGGTACAGGGCGGCGGGCGAGGCCCCGCGCCCCCCCCCCAGTGAGGACAAGCAGGTTCCGCCCCCCGGGGGTGCCGGAGGGGGAGGGAAGGGGGGAAGCAGGGGAAGGCGGGTAGGCAGTGGGGGGGCAGCATCCAAAAAGAAACGTGGGCATTCTACACTTTCATATGAAAGTCAGCGTTTCGCTCGAGACATCCTCTTTTAACAAATGCCTTCGAGCGGGCCCTCTAAACCCCATCTGGTCTCCTCCTCCTCCTCGTCCTCATCCTCCTTCTCCTCCTCTCCCTCCTCCTGCTCTGTCTCCTTCTCCTCCTTCTCCTCCTCCTCCTCCTCGTCCTCTTCCTGTTTTTCCTCCTTCTCGTCCTCTTCCTCCTCCTCCTCCTCCTTCTCCTCCTTCTCCTCCTCCTCCTCCTCTCCCCCCCTCCTCCTGCAGTCGTCGTCTTCGCCGTCGTCCTCCTCATGCGGAGGAGTGAGGAGGATAAGCAGGAATATGCTTGCGAACGTTCGGGGGGCGCGAATCCCTTGTGAGCGTTCGGAGAGCTCGCCTATCTTACATTTGATCGGCATGATGCTGCAAGATCTTGCGCAACTCTTCCCTTCCACGCGCGTCCCGCTCATGTCAGGAAAGTTTTGAAAACGAGCGTTTCGCCTGAGACATCCTTGCAGAATCGCGAAAACGGGGGGTCAAATCTTAAGATGTCCTGTGCTGAAAATGAGCGTTTCGCCTGAGAGATCCTCGGACAATGGGGATGTTGAAATCGTTGGTCTAATCTGCGGACATCCAAAAATGGGCGGCCCGCCTGAGAGATCCTCGAAAAAATGATGCGCCAAGAGCTCCTGTAAGGCATCTGTTCGGAGCGATCTCGGATGACCTCAAAGATGGACCAAGAAGGGGACTCATTAAGCAAAAACCACGGGTTTTCAATATTTTCGTTTAAACATCGGCGACTCGCTCGAGACACCCCCTAACAAATGTCTTCGAACGGGCCCTCGAAACCATATGGTCTCCTACCCCTCCTCTTTCTCCTCCTCCTCCTCTCCTCCTCCTCCTCCTCATCATCATCATCCTCCTCTTCCTCCTCATCCTTTCCTCCTCCTTCTCCTCTTCTGCCTCCTCCTGTTTTTCCTCCTCCTCCTCCTCGTCCTCCTCCTCCTCGTCCTCTTCCTCCCGTTCTTCCTCATTATCCTTCCTCCTCCTCGTCCTCCTTTTCCCCCTGCTCCTGCTCATGCTTCCCCTCTTCCTCGTAAAAATGAGCGTTTCGCCAGAGACATCCTTGGAAAAAGGGAAGTTGATTTCGCTGTCTGAATCTTCTGGATTTCAAAAATGGCCGTTTCGCATGAGACACCCTCGACAACATGAGATGCACCAAGAGCTCGTTTAAGGCATATGTTCAGAGCGCTCCTGGATGATCTCCAAGATGGCCCAGGAAGAGAAGTTGTTGAAAAACCGATCAGTGTTCAACACGTTCGTTAAAAAATCAGCGTTTCGCTAGAGGCATCCCCTGACAAATGCCTTCGAACTGGCCCTCGAAACCATCTGGTCTCCTCCTTATCCTCTTCCTCCTCCTCCTCCTCCTCTTCATCCTCTGTCTCCTTCTCAGCCTGCTCTTCCTCCTCCTCCTCTTCCTCCTCCTCCTCCTCCTTTCCTTCTTCCTCCGTCTCCTTCCTCCTCCTCGTCGTCTTGCTCCTCCTCCTCCTCCTGCTCCGTTTCCTCCTCTTCCTCGTCCTCCTCCTCCTCCTCCTCCCTTTCTCACTCTCTTTTCCTGCTGCTGCTGCTGCTGCTGCTGTTGTCGCTGCTGCTCCTTCTTCGTTTCCTTTTCCTCCTCCCCCCCCTCCTCCTCTTCCTCCTCTTCCTCCTCCTCCTCCTCCTACTCCCCCTCCTCCCCCGGTCGTCGTCTTCGCCGTCGTCATGCAGAGAAATGCGGAGGGTAATCAGCAGTACGTTTGTGAACGTTCGGGGGGGCGCATGTCCATACGTATCCTTTGTGAATTCGCCTATCTGCTGTTTGATCGCGATGGTGCTTTCCGCGCTTCCCGGTTACCGCGTCTCGTCCGTTTACGCGCTTCCCGTTCATGTCAGGGAAGGTTTGAAAAATCGAGCGTTTGGCATGAGACATCCTCGCCAAGTCGCGACTTGGAGGTCGTAGTTTAAAACGTGCTATGCTAAAAATGAGCGTTTCGCCAGAGACACCCTCGAAAAATAGGTATGCTGAAATCGTTGTCCGAATCGTCGGACCTTTGAAATGGGCGTTTCGCTTGAGACGTCCTCGAAAAAAAGATGCGCCAAGAGCTCGTGGAAGGCATATTTTCGGAGCGCTCTTGGATGACCTCCAAGATGCAAGGATGGCCCAAGAAGCGAAATGATGGTAAAACCCGGATGTGTTCAACGCTTGTGTTAAAAAGTAAGGTTCTCGCTCGAGATATCCCCCGAACCATGCTTTCGAGCAGGTCCTCGAAACCATCTGGTCTCCTCCTTCTCATCAACATCATCAGCATCCTGCTCTTCCTCCTCCTTCTCATTCTCCTTCTTCTCCTCCTCCTCCTCTTCCTCGTCCTCCTCCTCTCCTCCTCCTCCTGCTCCTCCTCCTCTTCCTGTTCCTCCTCCTCGGCCTCTTCCTCCTCATCCTTGTTCCTATTTTTCGTTTCTCCTCCTCCTCCTCGTCCTCCTCATTCCCCTCCTCCTTCTCTTTCCTCGTCTTCCTCGTCGTCCTCCCCCTCCCCTCCTCACCCTCCTGCTGCTGCTGCTGCTGCCCCTCCTCCTCCCCCTCCTCCTCTTCCTCCTCCTCCTCCTTCTCCTCCTCCTCCTACTCCCCACTCCTCACTCCCCACTCCCCCTCCTCCACCTGTCGTTGTAAAACATCGTTTCGCTCGAGATGTCCCTGAAAAAATGCCTTCGAGCTGGCCCTCGGCATCTGGTCTCCTCCTCCCCCTCCTCCTCCTCATCATCATCATCCTCATCCTCCTCATCCTCCTCCTAATCATTCCTCCTCCTCCTCGTAGGTCTCATTCTCCTCCTCCTCCTCCTTCTCCTCCTTCCCCTCCTCATCATCATCATCATCCTCCTCCTCTTCCTCTTCCTCCTTCTTCTTCTCCTCCTTCTCCTTCTCCTCCTCATGTTCCCTCTCCTCCTTCTCTTCCTCCTCCTCCTTCTCATTCTTCTCATCCTCCTTCTCTTCTTCCTCCTTCGCCTTCCTCATCCTTCTCCTTCCTCGCCGTCCTCCTCGTTCCCCTCCTCCTGCTCCTGTTCCTCCTCTTCCTCTTCCTCCTCCCCCTCCCCTCCTCACCCTCTACTCCTGCTGCTGCTGCCGCTGCTGGTGATGTTGCTCCTCACCCTCCTCCTCCTTCTACAATTACTCAATATGAAAATACTCTCCCTCTTCCCCTGATGGCGTCCGGGTGATGGCCGCACATTCTCCGCGTATTGTTTTTTACACAGGATGCCCGGGAAATCCCGGGAAACGACTCTCGCTGAGGCGCCGGCGTCATTTTCGGGCCGAACGCCCCCCGCGTACTGTTCTTTTACACACAGGATTCCCGGGAAACGGGTTTTCGCTTGCGTTTTTCCCAACCATCTTGTGGTGTTGGGTCCTCGTTTTGAAGAGACGGTGCCCCGCGTTCCTCTCCTCCTTCCTCCTCCCCCTCCTCCCTCCTCCCCCTCCTCTTCTCTCTTCCGTCAGAATGATCATCTGCAGCATCATCCTCATCCACATCCTCATCCTCATCATCGTCTTCATCATCGTCCCCACCGCCCATGTCGTCACACCCCTCACACGTTTCGTGGCCCCATAGGGAGCTCCACCGAAGGTCCCACTGGGGGCGTTCGCATGCGTCTCCCCCACCCTGGACAGCGTTTCGTGGCCCCATAGGGAGCTCCACTGAAGGTCCCAATAGGGGTGTTCGCATGCGTCTCCCCCACGCAGGACAGCGTTTCGTGGCCCCATACATAGGGAGCTCCACCGAAGGTCCCAGTAGGGGTGTTCGCATGCGTCTCCCCCACCCAGGACAGCGTTTCGTGGCCCCATAGGGAGCTCCACCGAAGGTCCCACTGGGGGTGTTCGCATGCGTCTCCCCCACCCAGGACAGCGTTTCGTGGCCCCATAGGGAGCTCCACCGAAGGCCCAAGTGGGGGTGTTCGCATGCGTCTCCCCCACCCAGGACACTGTTTCGTGGCCCCGTAGGGAGCTCCACCGAAGGTCCCAATAGGGGTGTTCGCATGCGTCTCCCCCACGCAGGACAGCGTTTCGTGGCCCCATAGGGAGCTCCACCGAAGGTCCCAGTAGGGGTGTTCGCATGCGTCTCCCCCACCCAGGACAGCGTTTCGTGGCCCCATCGGGAGCTCCACCGAAGGTCCCAATAAGGGTGTTCGCATGCGTCTCCCCCACCCAGGATAGGGACTCCACCGTGGGGGTCGCATGCGTCTCCCCCACCCAGGACAGCGTTTCGTGGCCCCATAGGGAGCTCCACCTAAGGTCCCA